AAAGAAATTTATACTATGTTGCGAATTACAATTTCGAGATAACCTTCTTTTATTTACGAACTTGTGTCTTTGATGCTGAAATTGACAACTTTATAAAAATACATTTTCACTGAAATTATGAAATCTGGGTGTCGGAAAGGTGTAAAATTATTTTCCGGAAAAGAAAAAAACAGTAGTTGAGCTAGATAAGAAATTATACGGGGGCAGGCTCCAATGGAGAATTAACATTACTGGAAACAGGCCCTTTCCTGTTTAGTTCTATGTAAACCAGAAGGGAGTATATCAAGCGACATACATGTATGAAAGCCCATCTGGTCAGGCGTATGAATACTTTATCTGTGGTCGAGGTGAGATGTCAACCAAAAAGTAACCCTGGTAGATATAAGTATAATATTTACATTCTGTTTTACATTCGCCCATATGTCTTGAATTTGTAAAATTGTAGAATACGAGACTGCATACGACAATTTACAGTGATTCCGTCGGTGTTGAAATTAATAAATCCAGATGTCTTCGAGGTAAACAAAACTGGCCGCCGGTCACTTTCACTTTGGTATCAATATACATTGTACTGACATATCCGAAGTTGTTGGATTTTAGCTAGAACTTCTCAAAATGTAAGACACTTTGCAAAGCTATCAAATTAGAATAGAACATTTTTTGTCAAACATATAATTTTGCCACAAAAGTTATCGCCATGACACATTTAATAACCAAGTTTGTCAACTTCGTCTGCTAAAGTCGACGTCGATCTGACAGTCCAAATTACAAATGTAGAATCCGTTACAAACAAAATGTCGTCACTTACTAACAGGATCGACTTCAATTTAGGATTTCCTTGGGTTTATCTATTTTGAAAATCACATCAATCCACTCCACGACACTGAAATGTAAATAATTCCCAAAGAAACGCTTATAAAAATCAGTGTTACAATTTAGTTCAACAATATCTGTTGAATAACAACATCACATTTTATTATATTAATGCATATAGTCAGTTATTTCGAAGACCACGCCAGTAAAAGCCCAACTGAGAAACCGTGTAGTTTACCTGAAAAAGTGTGAAATATAGTCATCTCTTTCAAGGGATAATTTCTCATCGTCCGACTCTGTCCTATATGATTTCACACATTACTATAGTCAATATACGAAGTAATCATATGACGCCCCTGAATTTGGTTAACACAAATAAAACTGTGAGAAGATCTAGAATTTGAAAATACATTTGAACAAAACAATTGATTATTACTGTAGCAATTAAAATTTGAAGATTAAGAGCTGAAAACTCTTGAATAATGGTTCGGATTGGGCGGGATTTACATTTACCGTTAATAATACCCATTAAACTAAGGAAAAAGGACAATGATTAGAAATTCATTAACCACAACATTTTTAAAAAGACATTTATCTCTACCGTGGCCTTGTTTCTATCCAATACAAATGCTTAGTACACGGAAATTCTCGAATTTATTGAAATTTTATTTTTTACTAAGATTTATGACTTGCATTTATAAATATCAGTCAAAAGTCAATTAATTTATGTAATCCATTTGCTTGGATGTTGCAACTTCAATCCATGTTCTTAATTTTTAGCAAAAAGTCCGTGATTTTTGCAAGTCCAATATGAAGTTATACATTGTGCTAAATGCAATACTAGCCCGCCAACATCATCAATTTTTATTTTAACCAAGTCTTGAAAGTCAAACATTTCAGGTAAAATCAGAAACGTATTTCTACATTTCTTAATTGCTTCAAATGCTAGAAAATCCATTCAGATTGTCGAAACAATACTTGATATTAAATATAATTTGGTAGCAACACTGCAGCTACAATATATATATATATATAGTGTCTTTTCTGTTATATATATATATAACAGAAAAGAAACTAAATCAAGTTTTTTCTATATATATATGTCTTTTCTGTTATATATATATAATTAAGCTATTTTTTTCCAATAAAGAAGCTAATATTGTTGAGTAATTTAACATTACATGTGGTACCCTTCATTTTGGGTATTTAAAGTAGTATTTCGGAAAGAATTTACGTCGTAATTGACAAACACTTGGATTACCATATTTTAAATAGACAATGAAATCCGTTACCTTCTTCCTTAGTAAATATGAGCTGTGCAAAGATGATGGCGATATTGGGAGGAAATAATTACTCTGTGTTCATGGGAGGGGATATAAATAGCCATGGTATATAATGTATTTGTTAGTTTAGAAGATCTTTCTTGACTTACTTAATATCTCCCCACATATTTATATAGGAATACGTACAAATGTGTGTGCAATTGACTACATCCTCTTTAAAGTGGGATATGGAATACATTTCGAATGAGAAAATGTTCTGTATAACTATGCACAGTACAACAATTGTCATTACGGCCATTACCTAAGGATCACTTCGTCCGATAGTTATTGACACGGAACAGGTTATACAAATTATTTATAGAAATATGGATATTGGCCGAGAAAGAATTGAAAAAAACAGATCAAACACACAACAAAGCAATTAGCCGTGACTTATACGTAATCACTGGCTGGGAGTACCACCTAGTTTCATGGCGGTTGGCCTGTACAGCAAGACATCTCAGTTGCAGTTACCATTGTCATCCATGGTGGAAGAATTCAAGGTAGCCAAGTGTAGATTGGTTATGACACTGAAGGACTCCAGAGACATCAAGGTACAGAAAGCTGGAGTGGTCACAAGGACAGGCCGGAAATGGTCAGCTGGTGCTACAGTCAGCAAAGCTGAGAGTACGCTGGAGTTACAAGACATCGTGGGAAACATCTGTGTTGGTAGACGAGGATTGGGAGTCGATCACTTTCAGCAGTGGAGCAAAGCAGAAGGCAAGGAAAAGGAGAGACAGAATTGTGTCTGTGGTGAGATCAGAGGAGGAACAGCAGCGCAAAAGTAGAGCAGTTGAGTTAGGACAGCAAGGATCATGGACGCGGTGGAATCTTCCTGAAAGCAAGATTACATGGACAGACTTGTGGAAAATGGAACCTCTCAGGATATCCTTCATGCTCAGGTCTGTGTATGACACACTGCCATCTCCATGCAATTTGTGCAGGTGGGGCCTTCTGGAAGATCTAGCTTGTTCCTTGTGCGGTGGAAGAGGTACACTTGCACATATCCTATCAGGCTGTAGAGTAGCCCTCCAGCAGGGACAGTACAGATGGTGTCATGACCAGGTTCTAGCTGCCCTAGCAGATATTCTGGAAAAGGAGCGGCGTCAGAAGAGGTCACTGATAGAACCTCATAAACCTCACATACACTTTGTGAGAGCTGGAGAGAAGGGACCACCAACTGCTACTGCATATCGTGTGAATGTACTCAGCTAAGCACCATCCTGGGAAATGAGAGTGGACCTCAACAAGCGTCTCGTCTTTCCTGATGTAGTGCATACCAATCTGAGACCAGACATTGTGATATGGTCGCAACAGCGCCAGAAGGTCATCTTGGTGGAGCTGACAGTTTCATGGGAAGAAGGGTGTGATGAGGCACATGAGAAGAAAGCTGGCAAATACCAAGAGCTAGCAGAGCAGTGCAGACAAAAGGGATGGAACACATGGCTATTTCCAGTAGAGGTCGGTTCTAGAGGATTCCCTACACAGTCAGTATGGAAGATGTTCCAGAAATTGGGACTGACAGGAGCAAAGAGGAAAGCAGCTATTATGACCTTGGCTGAAATAGCTGAGAGAGCATCATGCTGGCTATGGTGTAGACGAGATGAGCCAAACTGGAGCCCAGACAACAGCAAGCAGTGATTTATCACCACCGCTGACCCGCCAACCAGAGGACGTCGTGGAATAGGGGTCGAAACGGCCGATGATGGTTGGAATCCATCTGACGATGTTGACAACAGAAGGTTCCAGAGCTCCATGTCATCAGTGCCTAACCGAAGCAGCGGTTGGGTTACCATTAGTAGAGAAATCTATAAACTCACAAATAAAATAGGGGATGAATTCCATTATATATTTAAATACCAAAATCCAGAACTGGTACAGTACAGAATTTTTTATATTCTCCCTCGATATCGCAACATACCAAATTGTATTAATTTCTACAACTGGATGAACTGTTCAAGCTCCAGTACATTGCACAACCTATGTAAATTTCTTACTATTCTTAAAGATAAACTTAACCCTCCTGGGTAACCTGTTGTGCATTGTATAGAATGGGTAGGCTATCTATACATTACTGTATAATCACATGTTGTACCTTCTTAACACTTATGTATTAAGTTATGAGAATAAAGAACTGATCTGATCTGATTAATAACTATATATAAACAACAGTCCGTCTTAATGACTCATCGATACACGTACAATAATGCCGTGTTTACCTGTTCAGCGTTGGGACTGTGAACTGTAGTTATGTGTCATTTTCACATAAAAAAATGACACAACTAATGTTTAATTCAAGTTTGTCAAAGTTATATCAACGAGTTGTGAAAGTTGCTGTACTTTGGATAGTCAGAGACATACATTTGGATATTTATACATATTATCGCTTTTATTAAACATTGGAATTGTCAAAATAATCGTTTTATTAAAAATTTGGCAAAACTATGAAGGAGGTTCATGTGTGAGTTTCAACAAAGAAATGACGCAACTTAATTTCATCTCAAATTTTAAATATATATATTTGTAACAAGGAAATGTTCATTTTTTCTGAGCAGAGGCATACACTTTCCCAATATACATGTATACACTGTCTGTTTTGGGTAATGACGTCACGGATACGGTGATGGAGGCATATCACCAGATATTTATCATTATGTGTTTTCATAACATTCGCAGATTTATTATAATCATTATTTCAGATTAACAGTTGCATTATTTTATATACCCTTGCATCGAGTTTTAGAATATATATTCCCGCTTACGGTTTGTCTTAATAACAGAGACAATAATACCATGTCCGGAAACATTTCATCCGTCTTCGTACTTTGATTTTACTTTTTGCCTTATACTAAACTTGTCCTATATGGAGTCGGCGCCGTACACGAAAACAGACAATTCACATTTCTCTTGAGATGGCGCATAAGTTGATTAAGTCGTCGGGATTTTTTCGTTCATGGGTTCATCGAAATAGTTTTTCAACCAAGGTAAAAGACTGTCAACAACTCAAAGTCTCCATATCTGGGGTTTTAAATGAATTCACGACTGTTGTATTCCGGAATGCTATATTGAAAAGTTCATCAACATTCGTGAGTTTATCGAAAAAAATGCATAGTTGCTGAACAATATTATATAAATATTATGATGTTAACTGCAGTGTCGTGCCATTGCTTGACATGTGATGTACATTGAATAGCTTATCGTGTGAAATGGGAGCATTTAGGAGTGCTTCCTTTCTACTGATAAACATGCCCATGTATTTTTGTAGTTTACAATGCAATCATAACAGTTTATCAAAACATAGATTCTGGTTTTTAAAACATGTTTTTGTCAATATAAAAACAATTAATTATTATTTACTCTAACTGTGATAAGTAGAGAACAGTGTGTTTCCGTTAATACTAGAATAATGCTACAGGTAAGTTTTTACCTGAGAAATGCCTATTTTCCCAAAACAAGCCTTACGTAATTAGTACCTTTTGTTCTCCCCCTGTAACAACATTACCTGTGACCTATACTTAACATAGGATATGTTGGCTGAGTGGGAAGACACAGTGTAGCAGACCTGAAACCTATCGCAAAAATTGAATGGTTTTAGAAAATACTGGGCAATGCACTTCATTTTGTTGAATGACAATTGTATCGATTGTAAATATGCAACTCAAGAAAAAAAAAAAGACAGTAAATAGACAAAACACATTCTTTAACGTTGGTTTATAAGAAGCTGTACTGTAGTACTGATCCAGGAGGAAGTTAAACATATCCTTGGCACACTAGTTTCAGACCCCTTAAGAACCATTTTACACAATGCCAATGATTTGTCACGAAAAAAATACATAAATGAATTCAAATATGTCTATGTTATAAAATTTATTTTAAAAAAAACACAAACAATGAAGCACCAGTATTCGACCTCAAATTTGCTCACATCAGATAGCAAATAGTGACCCAGACATACATATGTATTACATAAAATCATCATTTGAACAGAAAAGACGATCTGATGACAGAAAAAAAAAAATCAAAATATAATGATGGATATCTGTGTTGATGTGTGCACCTTTCTTAACAGAAGTCAAATGTACCACTAACTTGGTGTAGATGCCTCCATAAACAACCTCTAGACCAAGTGTGGGCGGAGAAAGCAAAGAAGGAAATCAAAGGCAAGGACCCAAATGAAACCTTGACATGGAGGACACCAGAGGTACAATGTACACACAATCACATAGCTTATATTACCCACGTATCCTTGTTTAATGATATCTTTTACAATGATGTTTGTAATTGTAAAACATCAAATGTCTACACTGTAAGTGAAACATTGGCGTTTTTTTTTTTATTTATCCCTGGATAACAACTTTCTCAATTAAATCTTCTTAGTTTGCCATTGACTGCAAAATATGACTCCTAATATATTTTTGAAGATAGAAAAGTTTCATTCTATTGCAGTAATCAATTTACAATTAATTCTTTAGAGTTCCTTTTCAACTTCACGCTAAAAAGAATTGGTCTTGCAAATTTAAGTATTTCCAGAAATTCTCTTGAGTCCCATCAAAATTCTACAATTACAGGACTCAGGACTCTCCTGAAGATTGATTACTGTGTTGTTAGTTATTGAGAGCATGCGTAGAAAGTTCTACGAAATCTTATGTTGTAATTACCTGAAAGTCAAGTAATAATACACCATACCGTATCAATGCAGTGTGATGTATTTTCCCCTTTGTATTAATTAGACTTCATATTTAATTGGTAGAAGGTCGTTTACCCATGTTTAATTTTACTTTTCTCAGGGAATAAATATAAAACCAGTCTATACAAAAGATGATATGGTAGGTGTGGAGAAGGAGATTCCTGGGGAATACCCCTACACCAGAGGACCATACAGTACTATGTATACTTTCCGTCCATGGACAATCCGCCAGGTCAGTTAATAAATTCCGTTTGTATGAGATCATAAGGTACAATTATGTTTAAATCTTTTCTTATAATTTCTTCTTGATACCAAAAGGTTGTGGGTGCTGATATTGGACCTACATTGAATAGTATGCTAGGATGAAGAGCTACCAAATTTGTTCAAATGAATGACCTTGACCCACTTTCAAAATGGAAGGAGTTAAATGTGTTCAAATTTACAAATAACCCTTCAAAAAATACAGTGTAAATACGGTCCCAAACAGCAATATCTTTTAAATCATTAAAGGACAAGTTTTGCTTTAGCAATCCTCAGTATGGATTTTTTATAGATTGTAATTACTTCCTCTTCCAAGATATAGTGGCATTGAAGTATTTTCAGTGAAATAGTAAGACTGGTTTATATTAAATATAACATCACATCATCATATTAGAGGGTGACATGTAAATAGATTCAGAAGTGATAATATATATATCAGCACTTAAATATAACCTGTTGGGGAAAGTTGGATTTTTTACATAGATCTGGCCTCAGTTGCTCAAAGCTTAATGCAAGTTAAGCAGTGGTTCAAGAAAAAACCAATTCTTGCAGTTGAAAAATCAAGAATGTTAAAGACAAAATAATGACCAAAACATATCAATCTAGCCTATTTCAACAAATCTACTGCTATGACATAATTTTCTCTAACTACATGTTACCTCTACCCGCAGCCTTTAGACAACAGTTACTAACAGTAAATGGCATTGATGAATAAGTTAATTGTGTGATAGATCTGTCTCTGGTTGATATGCTTTATTAAACTTTGTCATGTCACATTTGATGACATCAGTCAGATAATAAGCAAATAGAATAGTAGTTCTTATCGAACAGCCAATGATATTGAAGTGTGATGATATGATGACTACACAGTCACCTTCGTCAGATTTTTGTTTTCTGATGAAGGTGACTGCATTCATCAAAACATCACACTCTAATCTTCTACTGATTGTGTTATAAGGACTTCTATTCTGTTGACATTACCAACCTGAAGAAAATGTTTCAAAATAACTGATAATATGTTGTAATAATTTGACCTTACAGTATGCTGGATTCAGTACGGTGCACGAGAGCAACAAGTTTTACAAAGATAACATTGCTGCAGGGCAGCAGGGGCTCAGTGTTGCCTTTGATCTGGCTACACACAGAGGGTAGGTTACCTCTCTATATAGACCATTTTATATAGAGCTGTGGTATGTGATCTCTTATGAATAGTAATCTCCTGTTTATTCAAATCACCCTACATCCTTAGTCCGTCATACATTCATGCATCCATTCCTCTGTAAACCATTTTTAATATCGCTATTTCTTGAAAAGTACTGGATGGATCTCTCTCAAATTTCTTTTGTAGGTTTCCTTTTATTCCTAGTTATGACCATATAATTCTTGGACTGATCAGAAAAGCAAAATGGCCAAAAGGTGGCCATCTTGTATTTTGACTTTGCAAGTTTGTTATCGCTATTTCTTGAGAAGTACTGGATGGATCTTTCTAAACTTTCATGTATAGGTTCCTCTTGGCCCTAGTTGTGCCTGTCTGATTTTAGGATTGATAAAAAAATAAAATGGCCAATAGACAGCCATCTTGAATTTAGCCTAGTAAAGATTGTTATCCCTATTTCTTAAGAACTACTGTATGGATTTCTCTGAAATTTCATGCTTGCTCCCTTTGGTCTCTACTTGTGCCTGTTTGATTTTGGAACTGATCAGAAAAAACAAAATGGCTTTCAGCTGACCATTTTGGATTTGGCAAATAAGATTATCGTTGGTATTTCTGCAAAGGAATGTTCTTTAATTAACTCCTGTCTATGACAATCTGTCTATAAGAACCTTTTATATTGATACAGGCTATCTCTTGTCGTTAGTGGTATGGTGATATATCTATACTGATCTGTCTATAGCAATATCCTGTCATGATCTGCTGTCTGTAAAGATCTCCTGTCTGTAATAATCTCTTGTCTGTAATAATCTCTTGTCTATAATGATAACCTGTCTATAAAGATCTCCTGTCTGTAATAATCTCTTGTCTGTAATAATCTCTTGTCAATAACAATTACCTGTCTATAAAGATCTCCTGTCTGTAATAATCTCTTGTCTATAATGATAACCTGTCTAAAAAGATCTCCTGTCTATAATGATCTATCAATAATGATCTCCTGTCTATATTGATATCCTGTCTATAATGATCACCTGTCTATAATGATCTCCTGTTTGTAATAATCTCTTGTCTATAATGATCACCTGTCTATAATGATCACCTGTCTGTAATGATCTCCTATCACTGAATACCTGCCTACATTTTCAAGCCTTCAGATTCAGAGAAAATATACTTAGCTATGTCAGTTGGCTTGATTTTACATGAAATGGATTTTTCAAAAAACTGCTATTTACAGCAAATAAGAAATGTGAAATATCTGAAATGGTCGGGTATAATGGTAAATAAATTATACAAACCACCTGTTTATAAAGTTTGTAAAATAAAATCAGTATTTATCATCATGATTGATCTGGTACATTGAAATACATTGTTTGTATAAATGAAAAGTACATGGGTACTTCCAAGCCATTGCCATAGAAAGCTGTATGGTTTATGCTTAACAGTTAAATTTGATAACTGCAGTTATGACTCGGATAACATACGTGTACGAGGAGATGTTGGAATGGCAGGAGTAGCTATTGACACCGTTGAGGATACCAATATCCTGTTCAGTGGAATCCCTCTTAACAAAATCTCCACCTCCATGACAATGAATGGAGCTGTCCTGCCTGTGATGGCTATGTATGTGGTGTCAGCTGAGGAACAGGTTAGTGAAATTATTCTAAATCTATTAGCATGTAATGCTGCATGATAGGAGTAGATATAATGTTTCCACTTCATAATTGAGTCACGATAAGAACATAGATAAAAGTGATTTGAATTTAATTGTCAAAATAATGAGTTTTCAATCATTTTATTTTGGTAAAAATCTATGAATATATCTTGTTTATTTTGTGTACTGCAGGATGGAACATTCACAAATTTCCTATGTAGAATCCATGTGGGATCTATTGTTCATGATGTGACAAGGTCATGATATGGCAGTTATAACGTTAATCATCAATAAAATAAAGTGAATTGGCAACATTGATCTTACTGAATGCTTTTTCATGATGCAATACTTGGAGGAAGGAATATCAAATGATGTTATGTATTGTAATATAAACTAATTTTAATGAAACTGATAAAATCACGCATATCAAAAGCCTGTGTTTTGTCCTGTTGATATAGGGTGTTAAGCAATCAGATCTATCAGGAACAATACAGAATGATATCCTGAAGGAGTTCATGGTTAGGAATACCTACATCTTTCCACCAGAACCCTCCATGAAGGTCATCGGAGACATTTTCCAGTACACTTCTAAGGTTAGAAGTTCTTTAATTTCCAATAAGATAAAATATTTCACTTTATAGCATAATTAGGATTTATATAAAATTTTACACATCCATGCACTGTACATGTACATCTTCTGTATGTGTAAAATATGAAGAATATACATTTTGACATATAGAATTGCTATAATATTCAAATGTTATTGTAGACAAATGAAATTCACAGGAAGTACGGCTTCAGTGCAGTATTTACAAATCAGATGCTGTCTATTGTCTTTAGATGTTACATGAACATGTCAAAGTTCAAAATTTATTAATTCAAAATATAAATACAATTGTATATATATTTAAACTAGATGACTATACTACTTTCTGTCTTTAAAATATGCCTATGCTTCTTTATATAATATGAATGATTGATTAATATTTGTTCTGCATCTTTCTCCAGCACATGCCAAAGTTTAATTCCATATCCATATCAGGCTATCACATGCAAGAAGCTGGTGCTGATGCTGTGTTAGAGCTTGCTTTTACATTGGCTGATGGCCTTCAATACATACAAACAGGTAAGCCCTGATCAAAGTTGGAAAACAGATAAAATTACTTCTCTGTTGGGGAGTCATGATCATCTGTATTTTGTTATGTACAATATTAGACTCGACTCAACTTTACAAATGACTTATTGACTCATAAATATTTTTTAGAAGAAAGCCTACTTTTGAATACTTAATGATTGTTTATATTTGTTAATGATAAACATGAAATCATATCCAGTAACGATTCCACCAATGAAAATAAACTTTGATTCTGTACAATTAAAGAAACGTTTGTGAGACTTTAGTCAGGAATGTATATTGAGAATAGATGGCCAAAGATCACCTCCCAGGTTCTGGGCTGTTCGCCACCTTAATGCACTGTCTTGATGCTTACAGGGTTGGACAGCGGTCTGGACATTGACAAATTTGCTCCAAGATTGTCATTCTTTTGGGGAATAGGAATGAATTTCTATATGGTAAATGTCATTTAAATTCAATTTTATACAAACTTATTCAATACATATCTGTGTGGAAGAAATCACATTTTGTTAGAATTTTTAATGCGAACGTTCACTTACTCCTGCTACATCTCATACATCATGGTCTCTTCTAGAGGGTAAACAATTTATACATCATGGTCTCTACTAGAAGGTTAGTGACTTATACACCATGGTCTCTTCTAGAAGGTTAGTGACCTATACACCATGGTCTCTTCTAGAAGGTTAGTGACTTATACACCATGGTCTCTTCTAGAAGGTTAGTGACCTATACACCATGGTCTCTTCTAGAAGGTTAGTGACTTATACACCATGGTCTCTTCTAGAAGGTTAGTGACCTATACACCATGGTCTAGAAGGTTAGTGACTTATACACCATGGTCTCTTCTAGAAGGTTAGTGACCTATACACCATGGTCTCTTCTAGAAGGTTAGTGACTTATACACCATGGTCTCTTCTAGAAGGTTAGTGACCTATACACCATGGTCTCTTATAGAAGGTTAGTGACTTATACACCATGGTCTCTTCTAGAAGGTTAGTGACCTATACACCATGGTCTCTTCTAGAAGGTTAGTGACTTATACACCATGTCTCTTCTAGAAGGTTAGTGAACTATACACCATGGTCTCTTCTAGAAGGTTAGTGACTTATACACCATGGTCTCTTCTAGAAGGTTAGTGACCTATACACCATGGTCTCTTCTAGAAGGTTAGTGACTTATACACCATGGTCTCTTCTAGAAGGTTAGTGACCTATACACCATGGTCTCTTCTAGAAGGTTAGTGACCTATACACCATGGTCTCTTCTAGAAGGTTAGTGACTTATACGTCATGGTCTCTACTAGAAGGTTAGTGACTTATACATAATGGTCTCTACTAGAAGGTTAGTAACTTATACATCATGGTCTACATCATGGTCTCTTCTAGAAGGTTAGTGACTTATACACCATGGTCTCTTCTAGAAGGTTAGTAACCTATACATCATGGTCTCTTCTAGAAGGTTAGTAACTTATACATCATGGTCTCTACTAGAAGGTTAGTAACTTATAAATCATGGTCTCTACTAGAAGGTTAGTAACTAGAAGGTTAGTGACTATCATGGTCTCTTCTAGAAGGTTAGTAACTCTAGAAGGTTAATCATGGTCTCTTCTAGAAGGTTAGTAACTTATACATCATGGTCTCTACTAGAAGGTTAGTAACTTATACATCATGGTCTCTTCTAGAAGGTTAGTAACCTATACATCATGGTCTCTTCTAGAAGGTTAGTAACTTATACACCATGGTCTCTTCTAGAAGGTTAGGGACTTATACACCATGGTCTCTACTAGAAGGTTAGTAACCTATACATCATGGTCTCTTCTAGAAGGTTAGTAACCTATACATCATGGTCTCTTCTAGAAGGTTAGTAACTTATACATCATGGTATACATCATGGTCTCTTCTAGAAGGTTAGTAACCTATACATCATGGTCTCTTCTAGAAGGTAAGTAACTTATACATCATGGTCTCTTCTAGAAGGTTAGTGACTTATACATCATGGTCTCTACTAGAAGGTTAGTAACTTATTCTAGAAGGTTATTAACTTATACATCATGGTCTCTTCTAGAAGGTTAGTGACCTATACATCATGGTCTCTTCTAGAAGGTTAGTGACTTATACACCATGGTCTCTACTAGAAGGTTAGTAACTTATACATATACACCATGGTCTCTTCTAGAAGGTTAGTAACTTATACATCATGGTCTCTACTAGAAGGTTAGTAACCTATACACCATGGTCTCTTCTAGAAGGTTAGTGACTTATACATCATGGTCTCTTCTAGAAGGTTAGTAACCTATACACCATGGTCTCTTCTAGAATGTAAGTAACTTATACATCATGGTCTCTACTAGAAGGTTAGTAACCTATACACCATGGTCTCTTCTAGAAGGTTAGTAACCTATACACCATGGTCTGTTCTAGAAGGTTAGCAACTTATACATCATGGTCTCTTCTAGAAGGTTAGTAACTTATACACCATGGTCTCTTCTAGAATGTAAGTAACTTATACATCATGGTCTCTTCTAGAAGGTTAGTAACTTATACACCATGGTCTCTTCTAGAAGGTTAGTGACTTATACGTCATGTTCTATACTAGAAGGTTAGGGACTTATACACCATGGTCTCTACTAGAAGGTTAGGGACTTATACACCATGGTCTCTACTAGAAGGTTAGTGACTTATACACCATGGTCTCTACTAGAAGGTTAGGGACTTATACACCATGGTCTCTACTAGAAGGTTAGTGACTTATACACCATGGTCTCTTCTAGAAGGTTAGTGACTTATACATCATGGTCTCTACTAGAAGTTTAGGGACTTATACATCATGGTCTCTTCTAGAAGGTTATAACTTATACATCATGGCCTCTACTAGAAGGTTAGTGACGTATACATCATGGTCTCTACTAGAAGGTTAGTAACTTATACATCATGGCCTCTACTAGAAGGTTAGTAACTTATACATCATGGCCTCTACTAGAAGGTTAGTAACTTATACACCATGGTCTCTTCTAGAAGGTTAGTAACTTATACATCATGGTCTCTACTAGAAGGTTAGTAACTTATACATCATGGTCTCTACTAGAAGGTTAGTGACTTATACACCATGGTCTCTACTAGAAGGTAAGTAACTTATACACCATGGTCTCATAGAATCTTTATCAACTGTGACTCATGGAAGCTTCTTACATGTCATTCTCTAATTAGATTAAGTCCTATTTAATGAAATGTCTTTGTTACAGTTTTTACAGTATTTAATTTGATGAATTATATACTTCTTGTGTTTAAGGAAATAGCTAAAATGAGGGCAGCAAGAAGACTTTGGGCACATCTGGTGGAGAAAAAATTCCAGCCCAAGAACCCCAAATCAATGGTACTGAGGGCACACAGTCAGACATCTGGCTGGTCACTCACAGAACAGGTACTAATATAACAATGATAATTTATTTGGTACAAATTTTCCCGACTTTGAAATGTGACAAAGAAATTTCAACCCTGCAGGTAAATGATGGTATAAGGATAAAAATTGATGTTTTGCATATAGATTTGGTTAGAATCGATTTGCTCTTTTCATATTTAGAGAAATTTCTTAAGGGAAAAAGAGCATTCAAAGTAACTTCTTTGTATAGATTAAGTGTCTGGTGATCTATACAAATATCTATAACTTCTCTGATATAAAGAGGGAAAAGTTTGTCAATAGTGATATAGTTTACAGAACATCAATCACAGCAGAGGGTACTAATTGGACTTTTATTTAGATTTAGAACAGTTGTTCTGAGAACATAGTCCAATACAGATGCACTTGTTCTACTGTGATTAACAGTTGTAAGATATATATATATATATACATGTATTTGCTCAAAATTGCCAATTCAAGTTGATAAGGATAAAAGCCTGTTCTTGTAAGCACCAGTTTTCATGATTATTCAGTAATTCATATTTACTATCAACAGGATCCCTACAATAATATCATGCGAACTGTCATTGAGGCTATGGCTGCTGTCTTCGGAGGAACACAGTCTTTACATTCAAATTCATTTGATGAAGCCCTTGGTCTGCCAACACCTTTCAGTGCTCGCATTGCTCGTAACACACAGATCATCCTACAGGAGGAGTCGGGCATCCCAAATGTTGCTGATCCCTGGGGAGGTTCTTACATGATGGAAAATCTCACAGCTGACATGTATGATGCTGCGTTAAAGGTCATCACAGAGGTCAGTTCAGGACATTCAGCATTTGTCTATTTATCTAATTGATGAATGATTTACATACAGGTTTTATCACTTTCGACATTTGTATGTTAGATTTATTGAAAATTAATTCAGAATTCAAAGTTCCATAATGAAATAAATTCGATGAAATTCTCATTTGAATATTTTTTAATGGCATGTTTTCTTAGCTTTTAGCGGCATTTTACTGAGATTTTAATTAGGTTTTTTCCGAGATTGAGAAGATGGGTGTTAGTACTGATCAGGTGTGTCTTGTTTGAAAAGATAGAGCGGGTCTTGAAACACATTGTAGCATGAAATGGATAGTTTCGTGTCTTCGGAAATGTTGAAATAATTTAAATACTCATGTGTATATTTTTTAATGGCATGTTTTCTAAGATTTTCATGGCATTTTACCTAGAGTTTAATCGTCTTTTTTTCTAGATTGAGGAGATGGGTGGTATGGCAAAAGCTGTGGCTTCTGGAATGCCTAAACTGAAGATAGAGGAATGTGCTGCGAAGCGACAGGCAAGAATTGACAGTGTCCAGGAAGTGATTGTAGGAGTCAACAAACACCGACTGGCCAAAGAGGAACATGTAGAGGTCAGGTCAATTGACAACAATCAAGTCCGTACAGAACAGTTAGAGCGACTCGCTGCTGTCAAGGCATCCCGTGACCAGGCTAAAGTATGACTACTTTATAGTTCTATATGCTGATGGAAAAATGTAATATGTAATTCATTTAATATTTAGTATAAATGTATTTACATGATATTATTATCCCTTTAGAACTTTTGATGTGTGTTGTAATGTTTATACATTCATGCAGTTAGCTTTTTAAATCACCAAATACTTGTGAATGAGTACTCTGAGAAATCATATTCAACTTCTAGTCTGTCATGTTTAGTATAAACATTCTCATCCAATTTGAGATTTTCTGGGGAAAGAAATGAGATTTGTTTTTATCTATATTGAGTAACTGTTTACTATGTAGGTGAAGTTTCTATGGTTATGTTTGAACATGTACACTATGTAAACAGGCAACGGAGTGCTTAGAGACGATAACGAAGGCTTGTCAGAGTGGTGATGGTAACCTGCTGGCTCTCAGTGTCGATGCAGCCCGAGCAAGATGTACAGTTGGTGAAATTACGGATGCCATGACAAAGGTGAATAGAACAGTTGTACAAGATGGTCTCTACCAATAGATGGTAGCCCTATGGAAAATGTCCGGCCTCCTAGATAAAAACTTTTGTGAAATTAATCATATATTTATATTGCTGGTAAAACATACAAGCTTTTTTACTATTTCTATTTCTAAAATTTTCCATTGTCATATTTAAAATTTCTCATTATCAAATGTTTGGCTGGTGTGGTAATTTTTTATGTTTATTGTAGGATGTATATTTAATGGTGGTGTTTAAGTATTACAGATTGTATGGCATCACTTAATGTCACTAGATTAGAATTTCAAATCCAGTCATGATATTTGATGGTATCTCAAGCACAGTACTAGTGAAAAATGCTCAGCCACCAGAAATAAAAATGACCTCATATCATGGTCAATTAAAGTCTGCCTTTTTTAAAATGTTTAATTTAGGTGTTTGGGCGCCACAAAGCCTCGGACAGAATGGTCAGTGGGGCATATAAATCGGCTTTTGGGGAGGATGATGAAATCAGCAGAGTAATGAAAAGAGTTCAGGTATGTTAGATCTATAATGTGTACTTGACATCCTCAGGATTTAACAACTGATGATAATGTTACCCTGATATATACTAGACCCACTGTACCACTCGGTTACATAGAACTGCTAATAACCTTTATCGGTTGAGAGTAAGACTAGTAAACCAGGGGTCCCAGGTTCAAATCCTAGTGGAGGCATTGAAATAAATAATGACCTCAGTTACATTGGCACTCATGCAGGGGCTTGGAAATAATACTTCACATAATTTTCACAAGCATCACTGTAAGTCCTGGAAACTTGAGGACATGTTCTTTCCTTGAGAGTGAATATGTAACCCTGATAGAAATTAGATGCAATATATCGCTCATCTAGAGAAAACTACTCTTTAGGTTGATCAGTTTAGTGTAAGACTAGAAAGGCAGAGTCCCAAGGTCAAATCCTAGCAGTTTTAAGAATGAATATAATGCTGACTTCTGCTGAATTTTCTCACAAAATTGATTCATGCCATGCTATATTTATCACCCTTGTTAATGTCCTGGTTCAGTTAATGCCTACAGATTTTAAGAAGACACATCAGTATGGCCCACAGGGCAACAAAGACTAGGCAAAAATGCAAGAAATTCAAAAGGACCCATAGTAGGGAATTGGAATTACCAGAGACATTTAAAACAAGCATACCCAGGACACGTAGTAGAACCTGAAGTATAACAGGATATAGTCAAGGAAGATGAACAGAAACCTGACAATAAGAAACCTTTCACCAAGTTCAGGTCAATCCAGGCAGCCAGCATCATTACCAGAAGTCCACCAGTACAATCAACACCTGTACTGGATACAGTGGTAGGAATGCTAGAAATCTTGAACTTAACAATAATAGTGGTAGCACAGCTTTGTCACATAATGCATTTGTGTCAGGGTTACAACATATAGAACAAAACCTGTAGATGATACCTAATAAATTACTAGAAACCACCTCCATCCTGTTGTTATTGATTCTCTGTATTTTAGCTCACCCTATCGTATCCATCCCCTGCATACCCTCGAGTATCGAGACGGAAGTCAAGGACCCATCTACTCACCATTTCGTAGTATATAGCATTGCCTATTCAACACATCCTAATTCAGTTAAATTACATTTGAACAGGTTTATTATCTTGATATTTTTTGTTTCCAAAATGGCATTTCATTTTAACAACATGGTACCTTACTATTGGCAATATCAAATTATTATTAAACATTACTTTTATGAAAATTGAAAGTAAAAAGTAGAATCAGATGTAGTCCTAATACACATTTTAGTTAGTACATATAGATTGAGTTGTTTCCCTTTGATCACTTAACAGAGATTTTTCTTCTAATGCTGACTGTAATATATGTAATTTCCAGCACAGTTTTAAATCCCCTATATACACACCATTTTGCAAATTCACGAGATTCAGAAAATTTTAGAAAAACTTCCATTCGGTAGTAATGCAAATATGATTAAAATATGAGTAATATGGTTAAAACATGTAGTCTAAATTGGATATATACATGTTTACATCTCACTGAAATGTCTTAAAGATATTCTGACTTCGGTTTGGCGAAGATCTTAAATAGAGGCATGTTTACAAATAAAGTGAATATTGTGAGCTTTTATATCAATACCAGCTCATCACATCATCCTGAGTATTCCTTCATTAATCAAAGTTTTACTATAGCAATATAAATAGATTACAATTTCTTGTTGATTTTTTAACCAAGGTTGCGTACACTGGGGCTTCAATAATGCCTCAATAATGATGAAGAATGTTCCACGGCAGACATCTATATGAAGTTATCTTCAGAATCATATTGATTGGGTAGTAATTACTAAGATATATTACTTAAGGAAGGACACTGATTTTCTAAGACTTTTTTCTGGGCATGAAAGTGTGAATTTCTAATATATTCTAAATAATATCCCACAAATTCCTGGAAAATTGTACAAAGTAAAATTAGGCATTTGTTGGATATTTTTAGACTTCATATTGAATATAGAATCAGGATCTTCTTGATTATCCAATGATAACCCTCCTAGAAAATGGAAAATAAACTGGACTGCTAATGACATCCCACAAAATCCTTGAAAATCCTACATAGAAAAAGGTGAGATTTTTTGTATTATCTTAGAAGATCTCAGAAAATCTCCCAATGTATCATAGGAATTTCAAGGAAATCCAAGTCAGTTTTTTGTAAGTTCATAAAAATGTTAAAACTGAATCAGATCAAAGGAACAGTATTTTTTGTATTGTTATATCTTATCTTAATTGGCAGAGTTTCGCAGAGAAAGATGGCCGTCATCCCCGTATTCTGATCGCCAAACTTGGACAGGATGGCCATGATCGTGGTGGCAAAGTGATTGCCACAGGGTTTGCTGATCTTGGTTTTGATGTTGACATTGGACCTTTGTTTTCTGTAAGTAATACCTTGGTTATTTTGATAGATTGTCTATGCTAAATCACCTTACTTAAAATCCAATTTTCATTTCAGTAATAATTACCATAACTTTAGAATGCAAATATGGTACCTACACCCATCTTTGTATCCCAAAAACAAAAGATTAAAAAATCTCAACCTCTCCCCCCTCCCCCCCCCCCTTTTTTTTCAATCCATGAGCCTTCATGGCAGGAACATAGTGATCTCCCTTCCTCTTTCCTTAAAGGCTACCAGAGCGAGCAGAGGGCAGATGTACTACTGTAGTATTTCGTTTTGTCGCTGAGTACTTTATTACTCAGTCTTCCTCTCAAACCCATCTCCCAAATTCACAGTCTCTTTGCAGACGTTATATTTTTGCTATATTTTCTTTATTTCGGCCTTTTTTCGGCCTATCCGTACTCCACGTGGCCGAGCGTGTGACCATGTGTTTTTCGTCATTAGGTTTTTGTGAAGTTTGTTGCTTTTTCAGGCATCTTTTTTATACGACCGGTTTTTCGTTATTATTTTGCTACATTATGTAAGATTTGTGCTTGCGTTCATGGTTTTTTTGTTTGACATATTTTTCTCCAAAAAAAAAAAAATTGTTTTTCTTGATTCTTTTTTGGTTCAAGTATGGCTAGTGCGGGTTTAGGCCGTGGTTCAGCACATGGGTGTTCCCATTTCTTCTGAGAGCGGGACCCCCATGATGCATGTCCTTTGTAACGCCCTTGCACAGAGACTGCGCCGTGTGAACTGTATTCGCTCGCCGTTTCTGCTGTCAATACTCCCCTCTTCTTCCGGCAAGAGAAGTAAGCCCTCTAGGTCCTCCACCTCTGGTTCTGAACAGGTGGGTGACTTAGGTGTTCCTGCCGGGGGTGCTCTCGTTCCACAGAGCTCCGCCTTTGAGCAGGGGGTGGTCTGCCCTTGAGCAGGGGGTGGCTCCCCCTATCCAGGCACATCCTGGAGAAGGGGTGGGGGAGGGCAGCCCGACCCTGACTCGGCACAGTCCAGGGTCGAATTGACCAGTAGCTCTTCTCAGCGGGTGGTTTTACTGTCGGTTAGGGACTTCCGGTCGCTGGTCGCTGGTCATTGGTCACTGATTCCTTCAGTGACACCGGCGAGCCAGGTGGCGTCGTTGGTGGGGGCCGCCTTGACTCCGGGCCTGTACCTTCGGGTATAGGCCACAGATTTTTTGTCAGGATTGTCTATGTCTACGGAAATTTGTTCACTAATCCTGGTGTCAGCACGGGGCCTTTTTTCCCACCCTCACAGGCTGCTAGCTCTGGGGCTTTTTGCTCCAGCCCAGATTTCCCAGTGCAGGGTTACCCAGGGGGTTTCTCCCTAGGGATTGGGGTTTCCAGCCAGGCATCCAGTGTCGCTTTACCCGGGGCTCAGGGTGCCGGGGTGCCTGCGGGCACTCATCCCTAGGCCGCCCAGGCCTGCTTACGAATGGTTCTGGGTACCAACAGTTACCCAGCGGTTACGAGCCTAGCCCGTTCATGTCTGGGTTTCCACCTGGTGGGAGTGGCGGTTCATCCTGGTAATTTGGACAGGGTGTCCAACCCCAGACTCAGGCAGGCCATCTTGGCCAGTTCTGGGGTCACTCCCAGCCAGCGGGACCGTTCCCATTCCCTCAGGGGTTTGGATTTAACCCCATGGGTCTTCCCTCGTGGAACCCATGGGGGTTGGTCTCTCCTTATAGGAGACATTATAGCAGTGTGGAATCTCCCCAACGTTCTGCTACTTTGGGGTCCTTGTCAGCCGGTCCTAAAAAGGTTCGTCGGACCTTTAGGACTTCCGCCTCCCGTGCTGACCGACCCAAGCTTACAGCTACGCCTGTTAGATCTGCGTCTAAACACCGTATAGAAGAGTCCCCCTCTCTGGAGATGGCTCCTCTGGCGGCCCCTGTTCCTCCCACATGGACTTTGGTCCCTGTTGAGGAGGAGATGGATGTCTAGGGTGCGGGCTCAGCAGTGGAAGACGATGTCATTCATCTTTCGCCTGAGTGCTCGGATATTGATCCATCTGAGTCATCTGATGATGACCCTCCTGTCCAGGAGGGTTCCCAGGGGGAAGATGGCCCTGAGACAGCTGAAGCTGAAGCTCAGCTATTCTTTGGGGGATGCGGGCCTTCCGGGCCGATATCTCCCCAAATCCACCACCCTTCTGGGTTCTCTGGTGGCTCCTCAGGCTTCCATTTGCTCAGATCAGTCTCTGCCAGAAGGCACTATCGTGTCTTCGGCTCTGGCCACTGCCTTGGCTCGAGTTTTAGAAAAGAACTGCTCCTCTACCCTCTCTTCCGGGTTTTCTGGGGTATCTCAATTCCCTGGCAGATGTGGTCCCCCTCGGGAGGCTTCACATCAGACCTCTCCAGACCTCTACAGTTGTTGCATATCTGGAGAGACAGGGGGGCACCAAGTCTCACGTCCTGTGTGCTCTCTCCATCTGCATCCTTCTTCTCTGCCAGGAGATGCATTTGTCCATTGCGGTCAAACATCTTCCAGGCAGGCTGAACGTGTTGGCGGACACTCTGTCCAGGCGCCGCCAGCAGGTGTTGATGGAGTGGCAGCTGTGCCCCTCGGTGTTCAGGGGAATTTGTCAGGTGTGGAACAGGCCTTTTATAGACCTGTTTGCCACTTCTCTGAACAATCACCTGCCAACCTTCGTCTCTCAGATCTGAAGGCTTGGGCCGTTGACACCCTTTCTGTGGACTGGGACAGGATGTATGTTTATGCATTCCCTCCCTTCAACTTGGTGGGCAGGGTGCTACAGAAGTTTTGGGAGCATCACTGCTCCCTACTTCTGATAGCCCAGGCAGCCTTGGTTTCCGGAGCTCTTGTCGTTTCTGGTGGAGGAGCCCTTGGCTCTCCACACCAGACCAAATCTCCGTCGCCAGCCTCGGTCCAGAACGACACACTCTTGACCCGAGATTCTCCACCTTCACGCGTGGAGGCTATCTCTGGAAGCCTTGCCAAGACAGGCTTTTCTCAAGATGTGTCAGATCGCATCGCATGATCAATCTTCTCTTCTGCCGTCTACCAGTCACGATGGAAGATCTTCTGTAATTGTTGTGTTGGCAGGAAGGTTGATCCGTTCGAAGCCACTGTACAGCTGATTGTGGATTTCCTACTCTATCTGTTTAGGGACCGCAATCTGGCCCCTGGCACTATTGCTGGCTATCAGACAGCTATTGCTAGTGTCCTTGCCTTATATGGCAGGAAGGAGATCAGAGGCTGGATAGACACAGAGTTCGGCATCTAGCCCAGCAGTGGAATTTAGCACTGGTGCTAGATTCCCTGACGAGGTCTCCTTTTGAGCCTCATTAAAGTTTATCACTTTCAAGGCAGTCTTCCTTTTGGCTCAGGCCTCTGAACGTAGGAGGAGCGAAGTCCACACCTTGTTGTCACTTCCTTCTTGCCTGCGTTGGTCCAGAGGCTACGCTGCAGTTACACTTCTTACTGATCCTTTCTTGCAAAGAATCAGGTCCCGGGTTTCTTGCCTGATCCCATCAGGATTCCGTCTTTGACTAGCTCGGATGAGCGGGGATAGATTGCCTTGTCCTTGTCGGGCTCTTAGGTTTTATCTTAAAACCAGGGGGGCGGGGCTCTCGATTCCATCTGTTTTTGCCCATCAAACAGAGACAGCGAGATGTCTCCTCCCAGTCGGTTTCTAGGTGGGTTTGCCAGGTCATTAAGTATGCTTATGAGCATTCTGATGATCAGGCTCGGGCAGGGTGAAAGTATGGGCTCAAGAGGCCAGGGCCCTCGCTGCATCCTGGGCCCTCCTTAATGGGTCTTCCTTCCAGGAGGTCATGTCTGCTGCCTTCTGGTGGGACAGGGATACCTTCACAGAAGATTTTTATCTGCGGTCCCTAGCTTCTCACTCAGAAGGTCTGTATTCGTTGGGACCTCTGGTAGTGGCACATTTAGTGGCTGTGCCACCCCATTAGCCCCGGGCTGGTCTATTCCGTTTGGCGGCATGTGGGTACACCTGCTCATTCATGGGGAGGTTCCCCTCCTTCTCATCAGCACTCTGTCCCCCCTCCCTACCATTTTCAGCTGTGCTGGATGGGCTGCCTGACTGCTAGTCACCACTACGGTAAGACAAATTCGCCTACTAAAGTTGTGGTAGTTATTGCTGAAATGAAATTGAGGTTTTTTCATGTAAAACCAATTTTCATGATGTAATACTTACCATAACTTTATCAAGTCCCACCCTGTCCTCCCCTCTTCCTATCTGCCTGGCTGCCCCTCTGCGGTACCCCATAAAGGCTAGAGGAAGGGATATCACTCTATGTTCCTGCCGTGAAGGCTCATGGATCGTAGGGAGGGCAGGATTTTTTAATCTTTTGTTTTGGGGATACAAAGATGGGTTTAGGTACCATATTTGCATTCTAAAGTTATGGTAAGTATTACATAATGAAAATTGGTTTTACATAAAAAAACCTCAAGATTATGCCTGAAACAGTGGATGTCCTGATTGTATGGATTAATCACTGTACATGACTCATATATATGATGAAAATATCTGATGATTCGGTATGAGATACACTACACTAATTAATTATGGATTTTCTTAATTTTCTTTTAATGAATCTTAGGTACCAGAGGTCCATGGAGAACTTCTGTCAGACTTTTAGTTTCTAAATGCAAGTATTTTTACTCATGTTAAATCAGTGAGAAATCAATGACTTTAGTTAAACGTGGTCACTGAGTCAGGTACTCTCATTGGTAACTTAAGATTTACACTGTCACTCAGACAGGTGCTGTCAGTACTGACTTAAGATTTACACTGTCACTCAGACAGGTGCTGTCAGTACTGACTTAAGATTTACACTGTTACTCAGACAGGTGCTATCAGTACTGACTTAATATTTACACTGTCACTCAGACAGGTGCTATCAGTACTGACTTAAGATTTACACTGTCACTCAGACAGGTGCTATCAGTACTGACTTAAGATTTACACTGTCACTCAGACAGGTGCTATCAGTACTGACT